CTATCCCAGGGAATCCAACCCGGCCTGGGACACTGCCAGGGATCCAGGGGCAGCCACAGCTTCTCTGGGAATTCCAGCCCAGCCCCTCCCCACCCTCCCAGCCAGGAATCCCTTCCCAATCTCCCATCTAAACCTACCCTCTGACAGTGGGATCCATTCCCTGCGTCCTGTCCCTCCATCCCTTGTCCCCAGTCCCTCTCCAGCTCTCCTGGAGCCCCTTCAGGCTCTGGAATGTTCTCCAAGCTCTCCCTGGAGCTCAGTGTTTTCCTTTAATCCCTTGGAGCCGCATCCCACAGGATTTATCTTCCAAGAATCTGAGAAGCCCAGTCTGGAGCCATCCCAGCTCCATGGAACCAGAGAATTCCAGCCTGGTTTGGGTGGGAAGGGACCTCAAATCCCATCCTGCTCCATGGGCAGGGACACCTCCCACCAGCCCAGGTTGCTCCAACCTGGCCTTGGACACTCCCAGGGATCCAGGGGCAGCCACAGCTTCTCTGGGCAACCTGTGCCAGGGCCTCTCCACCTTCACAGGGAAGGATTCCTTCCCAATCTCCCACCTCTCCCTGCCCTCTGCCAGTGGGATCCATTCCCTGTGTCCTGTCCCTCCAGCCCTTGTCCCCAGTCCCTCTCCAGCTCTCCCATGATCCCTTCCCATCCTGCTCTGCTCCCGCAACACTCCCAGCTCCCATCCAGCTCCCAGACGACCCATTTTCATCCCTTTCTCCCAAACTTCCCTGTCCCCCCCCCATCCCCTTGTGTGCCCCAAAGTTGTGCCCCTTTGCCCCGAGCACCCCCAATCCTCTTGGCTCCCCTCTCTCGGCTCCTCCCGGTCCTGGAGCCCCCCCTGGCTGCACGGACAGGGGGGTCCTGTGTCACCCGTGTCCCCCGTGTCCCCCCTGGCCCCTCAGGTGGCTGAAGGGGCAGCAGGAGGACAAGCAGGACACGGACGTCCACTACCACTCGCTCACCGGGGAGGGCAACTTCAACTGGAGGTACATCTTCCCCTTCGACTACCTGATGGCCGAGGAGAAGATCGTCATCTCCAAGAAGGAGTCCATGTTCTCCTGGGACGAGACCGAGTACAAGATCCCGGCCCGGCTCACCCTGCAGGTCTGGGACGCCGACCACTTCTCGGCCGACGACTTCCTGGGTGAGCCCATGGAGCACTCGGGAGGCGGCTGGGAAGGGCCTGCCCAGGGATGTGGCCAGGCTGGATCCATGGGAAGAGCAGTGGGAGGGCAGGAAGGCTCTGCCCAGGGATCTGGACAGACTGGATCCATGGGAAGAGCAGTGGGAGGGCAGGAAGGCCCTGCTGAGGGATATGGACAGGTTGGATCCATGGGAACAGCAGTGGGAGGGCAGGAAGGCCCCTACTGAGGGATGTGGCCAGGCTGGATCCATGGGAAGAGCAGTGGGAGGGCAGGAAGGCCCTGCCCAGGGATGTGGCCAGGTTGGATCCATGGGAAGAGCAGTGGGAGGACAGTGGGAGGCCTTCCTGCCCTGCCCAGGGATGTGGCCAGGCTGGATCCATGGGAAGAGCAGTGGGAGGGCAGGAAGGCCCCTATTGAGGGATGTGGCCAGGCTGGATCCATGGGAAGAGCAGTGGGAGGGCAGGAAGGCCCCTATTGAGGGATGTGGCCAGGCTGGATCCATGGGAAGAGCAGTGGGAGGGCAGGAAGGCCCTGCCGATGGATCTGGCCAGGCTGGATCCATGGGAAGAGCAGTGGAAGAGCAGTGGGAGGGCAGGAAGGCCCTGCCCAGGGATGTGGCCAGGCTGGATCCATGGGAAGAGGTCAGTGGTGTGAGGGCCAACCAGGCCAAGTGCCAGGTCCTGCCCTTGGGTCACCACAACCCCCTGGAACCCTCCAGGCTGGGACAGAGGGGCTGGAAAGCTGGAAAAGGCCCTGGGGGTGCTGGTGGCAGCGGCTGGACACGATCCCAGCTGTGCCAGGGGAGGCTCAGGTTGGCCAGGAGGAGGAATTCCCTGCTGGAAAGGGTGGTGAGGCCTTGGCAGGGGCTGCCCAGGGAGGTTTGGAGTGCCCAGCCCTGGAGGTGTCCCAGGAAGGCCTGGCCGTGGCACTCGGTGACAAGGTGGGCATCGGGCACAGGGGGGGATCCACGGGCTGGGAGGGCTTTTCCAGCCCAGATGATCCCGGGATTCTGGGAGCCCTCCTCTCCACCGTGGCACCAGCAGCTCTTTACTTCCCAGAGCTGGTTCAGAGCTTCTCCCCCGGGCAGGAGCTGCCGGTCCAGCCCCTGTGCAGCATTTTGGGGGTGCCAACCCCCGTGCCCTCCCTGCAGCATTTTGAGGGGTGCCAACCCCCGTGCCCTCTCTGCAGCATTTTGGGGGTGCCAACCCCCGTGCCCTCCCTGCAGCATTTTGAGGGGTGCCAACCCCCGTGCCCTCCCTGCAGCATTTTGGGGGTGCCAACCCCCGTGCCCTCTCTGCAGCATTCTGGGGGTGCCAACCCCCGTGCCCTCCCCTCTTTCTCCTGCCAGGGGCCATCGAGCTGGACCTGAACCGCTTCCCCCGGGGGGCCAAGACGTCCAAGCAGTGCAGCCTGGAGATGGTGACCAAGGAGGCCGAGCTGCCCATGATCTCCATCTTCAAGCAGAAGCGGGTGAAGGGCTGGTGGCCCTTCGTGGCCAGGGACGAGAACGACGAGCTGGAGATCACGGTGAGGGCGGGGAGGTCACTCCTTGGAGACACCTTCCACCCTTCCCTCCCTGCGTTCCCCCGGGAAATCCCTCTGTCTCCAGGCCCTGGGGGCCGAGGTGGCAGCGTGTGCCAGGCCCCAGCGCGTGTGCCAGGCCCCGGCGCGTGTGCCAGGCCCCAGCGCGTGTGCCAGGCCCCGGCGCGTGTGCCAGGCCCCGGCACGTGTGCCAGGCCCCAGCAGGGCTCTGTGCTCCCTGCAGGGCAAAGTGGAGGCCGAGCTGCACCTCCTGACGGCCGAGGAGGCCGAGAAATCCCCCGCCGGGCTGGCTCGGAACGAGCCCGACCCCCTGGAGAAACCCAAGTAAGTGGGAAGCCCCCTCTCTGCAGCAGCTACCCGGGATCCTGGGCTTCTGCTCCCACCCGGAGTGCTGCATCCAGCTCTGGGGCTGCGGGAATGAGGCCAGAGGAGGCCGTGGAGCTGCTGCCAGGGCTGGAGCCCCTCTGCTCTGGAGCCAGGCTGGGAGAGCTGGGGGGGCTCAGCTGGGGAAGGGAAGGATCCAGGGAGACCTTGGAGCCCCTTCCAGAGCCTAAAGGGGCTCCAGGAGAGCTGGAGAGGGACTGGGGACAAGGGCTGGAGGGACAGGACACAGGGAATGGATCCCACTGGCAGAGGGCAGGGAGAGATGGGAGATTGGGAAGGAATCCTTCCCTGTGGAGGTGGAGAAGCCCTGGCACAGGTTGCCCAGAGAAGCTGTGGCTGCCCCTGGATCCCTGGGAGTGTCCAAGGCCAGGTTGGAGCACCTGGGATAGCGGGAGGTGTCCCTGCCCATGGAGCAGGATGGGATTTGAGGTCCCTTCCCACCCAAACCAGGCTGGAATTCTCTGGTTCCATGGAGCTGGGATGGCTCCAGACTGGGCTTCTCAGATTCTTGGAAGATAAATCCTGTGGGATGCGGCTCCAAGGGATTAAAGGAAAACACTGAGCTCCAGGGAGAGCTTGGAGAACATTCCAGAGCCTAAAGGGGCTCCAGGAGAGCTGGAGAGGGACTGAGGACAAGGGATGGAGGGACAGGACGCAGGGAATGGATCCCAGTGGGAAAGGGGAGATTTGGGGGGGAGATTGGGAAGGGATTCCTGGCTGGGAGGGTGGGGAGGGGCTGGGCTGGAATTCCCAGAGAAGCTGTGGCTGCCCCTGGATCCCTGGGAGTGTCCAAGGCCGGGTTGGATTCCCTGGGATAGCGGGAGGTGTCCCTGCCCTTGGCAGGGGTGGGACTGGATGGGATTTAAGATCCCTTCCCCCCCAAACCAGTCTGGGATCTGGGACGCTGGGAGGTGTGGTGGGGTGGTCCCTCAGGAGGGAGACGGGTATGGGGAGTGAGGGATTTGGGAATGAGAGTCCTGGGCAGAGCCACCTTCAGTGCTTCCCCCACTGCCTGCTCTTCTCTGCCCCGCTGCTTCTCCTTTATCCCTCCCTCCTCTGCCTCTCCTCTCGGCTCCAGCTCCTCTCCTTGGCCTCCCCACCCCCTCTCCTCCCCTCCAGCACCGACTGGAATCTTCCTGTTGCCTCCTCATCACCCTGCAGTCCTTCCTCTGGCACAAGGAATCCCGGAATCACAGGGTGCTTTGGGTGGGAAGGGGCAGGGACACCTCCCACTCTCCCAGGTCGCTCCAAGCCCCGTCCAACCCGCCCTGGGACACTTGCAGGGATCCAGGGGCAGCCACAGCCTCTCTGGGCACCCAGAGAAGTGCAGGAATAACTCTGGTGCCGGAACAACAACTTCCTTTCCCCGCAGCCGCCCGGACACGTCCTTCATCTGGTTCCTGAACCCGCTCAAGTCCATCAAATACCTCATCTGCACGCGCTACAAGTGGCTCATCATCAAGATCGTGCTGGCCCTGCTGCTCCTCGTCATGGTGGCCCTGTTCCTCTACAGCATGCCGGGCTACATGGTCAAGAAGCTGCTGGGGGCCTGAAGGACGGGAGCCTCTCCCACGTCCCGGCCTTTCCCTGGCTCCACGTCCGTCCTTCTCCTCCCCACAGCCCCTCGGCAGCTCGGGGGCGTCTCCTCCCTGCTGCTGCTGCTCCTGGATTGCTCCTGGATTGCTCCTGGATTGCTCCTGGATTCCTCCTCTGGTCCCCTTCAGGCTCTGGTCCCATGGGAGTGGGGCTGGAGGGTGGTGTCGATCCCGAGGCTGGGGATGGGATCGATCCCAAGGCTGTGCATCCCTCACCAGGGATGGGATGGGATCGATCCCGAGGCTGTGCATCCCTCACCAGGGATGGGATCGATCCCAAGGCTGTGCATCCCTCACCAGGGATGGGATGGATCCCGAGGCTGTGCATCCCTCACTGGGGATGGGATCAATCCCAGGGCTGTGCATCCCTCCCCGGGGCTGGGATCGATCCCGAGGCTGTGCATCCCTCACCAGGGATGGGTTGGGCTCGATCCCAAGGCTGTGGATCCCTCACTGGAGATGGGATCGATCCCGAGGCTGTGCATCCCTCACCAGGGCTGGGATGGATCCCAAGGCTGTGCATCCCTCCCCGGGGCTGGGATCGATCCCGAGGCTGTGCATCCCTCACTGGAGATGGGATCGATCCCGAGGCTGTGCATCCCTCACCAGGGATGGGATGGGATCGATCCCGAGGCTGTGCATCCCTCACCAGGGATGGGATGGGATCGATCCCGAGGCTGTGCATCCCTCACCAGGGATGGGTTGGGCTCGATCCCAAGGCTGTGGATCCCTCACTGGAGATGGGATCGATCCCGAGGCTGTGGATCCCTCACCAGGGCTGGGATGGATCCCAAGGCTGTGCATCCCTCTCCGGGGTTGGGAGAACTGCCCAGCCGGCTTGGGGGGGGGCTCAGGGGCCTCTGCCCTCCTTGACATCTCAGCCCCCAGGCCCGGGGCAAGGAGAGGGCAGCTGGGGCTGTGCCGGTGGAGCTCCGGGATCGCTCCCAAAGGGCTCGTCGGAGGGATATTCAGAACCCAGGATGGAGCAGGGAGCTGGGATGGAGCAGTGGGGACACTCCAGTGCCCCCCAGGGTGAGGGCCCAGCGCTCCCCCAGTGCCTGTCCCCTCTGCCCCATGGTAGCTCTGGAGGTCCCCGCCGTGGGGACACAGGACACGGTGCCCCAGTAGCCCCCAGGGAGCCCCGGGGGTGGGCGAGGGCCAGGCCCTGCCCCTCCCTCCCCGTGGAGGGCTCCCACAGCTCAAACACCCTCCCGAGATCCCCCACCCGGAGGGGTCGGCGGCTGGACGGCCCCGGGGGGGGGGCTCACAGGGTCTCTGGCACGGCGGGAGCTCTCCCCGCGTGCCTCGGGATCCTCCGCGTGTTCCCTCTGGATTAGTGATCCCCGCGGCCGGAGCCTTTCCCAGCTCCCAGTGTGCGAGACCCCGAACCGAGGAACCGAGGAACGTCCCGGAGGCGTTTGGAGGTTGTTGCTGTTGAAATCCATCCAAATAAAAACCACCTTTCGCGTCCGGGCTGTGGAGCTCTGGGGTCAGGGGGGGTCAGACCGCCCGGCTCTCCCGCTCTTCCCGAGGAACCTTTTCCCTCCTTCCCGGTGCTCCCGCTCTTCCCGAGGAACCTTTTCCTTCTTTCCCGCTCTTCCCAAGGAGCCCTTCCCTCCTTCCCGGCGCTCCCGCTCTTCCCGAGGAACCTTTTCCTCCTTCCCGGCACTCCCGCTATTCCCGAGGAGCTCTTCTCTCATTCCCGGTGCTCCTGCTCTTCCCGAGGAGCCTTTTCCCCCTTCCCGGCGCTCCTGTTCTTCCCGAGGAGCCCTTCCCTCCTTCCCAGCGCTCCCACTCTTCCCAAGGAGCCTTTTCCCCCTTCCTGGCGCTCCCGCTCTTCCCAAGGAGCCCTTCCCTCCTTCCCGGCTCTCCCGCTCTTCCTGAGGAGCCCTTTCCCCCTTTCCCGCTGTTCCCGAGGAGCCTTTTCCTCCTTCCCTCCTTTCCCGCTCTTCCCAAGGAACCCTTTCCAATAAAAAAGGGGGCGGGGTTCGAAGGTCAGGGGCGTGGCCTGAGGGAATGACGAGCCAGGGGCGGGGCAAACAAGGGGCGCTGTCCTGTGAAGGGGCGTGGGCTAAAGGGGGTGTGGTCAGAATGTGTGGGCGTGGCCATTGCGGGAGGGCGTGATTAAGGCGGGTCCCCGGGAATCCCCAAGGGTTGTGGGAGGTTTGGGGAGGTGAAAAGTGATTTTGGGGGGTCCCAAAGCCTTGGGGGGGGATCTGGGGGACACCCGGGGGGTTTAGGGGGGGTGCGAGTGATGTTGGGGGTCCCAAAGCCTGGGAGGCGGACCTGAGGAGACACTCGGCAGAGTTTGGGGTCTCTGGGGTCCTTAGGACTTGGGGATGGGCAGGGCTGTGTGGGGTGCCCAAGGCACTGAGGGGGTTTCCAAACCTTTGTGGGGGTCTCCGTGGGGTCCCCATGGCCTCGGGGGGGCCCGATCGCTCTTTGACCCCCTAACACCCCCCAGACCCCCATAAACCCACCCAGACCCCCATAAACCCCCTTCACTCTGTGACCTTCCCAGACCCCCAACACCCCCAGACTCCTCATAAACCCCCACCACTCTTTGACACCTCCCCCGGACTCGCCCAAACCCCCACAAACCCCCATCACCCTTTGTCCCCCATAAATCCCTGGACACCCTAAACCCCCATCAATCTGGGGAAGATTTCCTCCCAGTCTCCCACCTCTCCCTGCCCTCTGGCAGTGGGAAGCCATTCCCTGGGTCCTGTCCCTCCATCCCTTTTCCCCAGTCCCTCTCCAGCTCTCCTGGAGCCCCTTTATGCTCTGGAAGGGGCTCTCAGGTCCGCCTGGATCCTTCTCTTCTCCAGGGGAGCGCCCCCAGCTCTCCCAGCCTGGCTCCAGAGCAGAGGGAGGCAGAAGGAGCAGGGAAGGAAAAGAAAGTAAAGGGGAGAAGGGAAAGAAATCCAAGTTGGTCCACTCAGATCTGCCCCTCTCCCCTTCCAGCCCCATCCCGGCCTCCTCCCAGCCTGTCAGCCCAGCCCCGTCCCCTGCCTTGCCCAGCCCCCTCTTTCCCAGCCTGTGCATCAGACAGACCCCCCGGGCAGTCCCTGCTGGGCTTTCCAGTCCCACCCCCCGCCAGCAGCTCTTTGCTTTCCCTCCTGGCTCCCTGGCAGCCCGGCAGGGGCACTGCCACCTCAGTTCCAACCCCCAAGGCCGTCCCCGGGGCAGCCCCAGCTGGTCCCAGCTCCTCCAGAGCGCGGCTCCGGTGCCCCCAGGCTGCCTGGACAGCACCAGCGCTGCCCCGGGGACTGGGAGGAAGCTGCTGGGCCACGGGATCCTGCACAGGGGGCACGGCAAAGGCTTTTGCTCAACAGCCAGGCCAAGGGCAGGAGCAGCTGCCGGTGGGGCTGAGAGCTGGAGGGAAGTGCAGCAGGCCCAGGCCCCTGAGCAGGGACGGCTGCCCTGGGCACACGCAGGGCCCTCCGGAGCAGGGAGTTAAAGCACTGCCTCAGCCGGCCCTGCCCCTGCCAAGGTGGGACCTGCTGCTGGCGACTGAAAGGACTCCTCTCCCAGTTCCTGGAATCACACTCTTTATTAGCACCGCCTGGGACAGGTTAATAAGGTTCGTGGGCGTTGGCGGCAGCGTCTGGCTGCAAAACTGTGTTTGAAAGCAATCTGGGCTCTGGGAAGCAAGGCCAAGGTGGAACACGAAGCAATCTGCCAATATCCTCTGGGGGGAGCCCGACCAAAGCTCTGCTCCTTAAAGCAGCGTTGAACCTGCCCAGAGTGTATTTCTCACCCCACAGGCGTCCCTGGGGTGGGGGGGAGGCAGGTTCAACCCCTCGGCTGATCCCAGCAGGTTTGGGGGAGTCTTCCTCAATTTCCCCCCTATCCTCAACTTACTTTTATACGAATTCTTTGTGTTTAGGTGGAGCTGGAGTGGCTTCAGTCGTAATTACCTTTTGTTTCTGGTTGGTGTAAAGTTCTCTTGCTGTACCTAACGGGAGGGGGGGTCGTGGTTTGGCACCTGAGGAGGGGGTTCGACGTGGTTGTTGGCTCTGCAGCAGAACACCTGGATTGTCCCTCGGCTGACAGGTACTGGAGGGTCCCATGATCTTCCCAGTACCACAGTGTTCCCCCTTTGTGCTGGGATTGCAGTGCTGCAGGAAAGCTGGGCTTTGCTCACTGCCCCTTATTTCCTCAGAGCAGCTCATCCAACTGGGGCTTTCTCGTGCTGCCTTTGCCCTTCCCCTGGCACTTGGGCTCCATCTTGGCCATGAGACTGAGCAGCCCAGGGAGGGTTTTTATACTTTTGCTCAAGGGCAAAGCAGAGGGAAATGTTTACGGCAGGAAGGGAAGAGGATTGTGGCTGATCAGGAAGCGAGGGAGTTTCTGAGCGACGGCCGGAGTAACGCGCCTTATTTCACCCAGTTTGTGAGCAGTTGGATCCCATTGTCTTCATGGGGCTTGGGAGCATAAGCATTGAAACAGCATTTTGTGGACTCTGTTCTGCTAAACTGCAAAGCTGTGGAGGTTCTTCCTTCATCTTCTTTCATCTTCCTTCCATCGACATGGCCTAAGGCTTGTCCAGCTCAGCAAGTGCTTCCTGCTTGGTAATTCTCTGCCAGGCCTCAGGGATTTCTCCTTTGCCTTGAAATTTCTTACCGTGCCAGGTTTCTATCTCTGTCCTGAAATGAGACACAAACCATTTCCAGTAGGCTTGTGTGGATGGATCAGGAAGAATGTTCCAATTGGAGAAAGGAGGTCCTGCATCCCCGTATCTCTGGTAGAGGATCCATCTGTCATCAGCAACTTCAAATTCACACTCACTTGCAACGAGGCTGGAACAAATATCAATGACCAGGTGATCTGTTTTGTCCCACCTGTCTCCCCTCAAAGCTTGTGGTCGATGGAAGAGAAGTTGATGGTCTCCATCGTGTCCCCGCATGGTGTTTGTGCAGACAGCCCCACAAAAGGGACACTGCTCCCAGCACCCCCGAAACTGCTCTGCCAGGATGGTGTGAGGCTTCCTTTCAAAACAACTCAGATCAGCAACAGTAAATTCTTCCCTGAGCTTGTCCTTCATGGCAGGCAGTGCTTCTGCCATGGCTTTGCTCAGGAACTCGATGTCTGTGATCTCCTGATGCTCGAGGTCCTTCAGGTCACTTCTGGGCAAGTTCATCAGCTCTGTCAGTTCCCTGCAAAATTCATCCAGCCAGAGAGAGATTTTGTCCTTTCGGTCTTTTCTGTCTTTGACCCTTTGGGTTGATGAAGCAACAGCTGACAGGATGTTTCCATAGAGAACATCAAGGGAGGAATCTAAAAAGTTCTGCAGCCTCCGGCTCTCACCTAAACAGTAACTCTCAACACGTCTCTCAATGTACCACTGAAAAAACTCTTCTGGGTGTTGAAGGTACCGCTTGAAATACTGGAAGTTTTCTTTTTGTGCCAGGAATCTCAGGATACAAACATCCAGATTGGCTCTGTTGCCCTGGAAATCTGGGACTTTCCCCTGCATGCGACCAGCGATGGCTTTAGCCGTCCTCTCATAGACGGCCCGGCGAAGAGCTGGGGCAAGCTTGTAACAGAGGAAAACAGCAAAACCTGTGTCAGAAGTGGCTCCTTGGCAGGAAATCTGGAAACAGGTGAAGAAATCTTCTCTCTTGCTGTTCAGGTAGGTGACTGGGTCATTTGCCTTCTGGAACGCTTCGTGCATGGCTTTAAACCTTTCTGCTGCCGTTCTGCACAGGTACAGAGATAAATCTATGATGTAATCTTTGTTAACCCTAAATGGTGCATCGCTGGGGACGGAGTTCACACCTTCCTGTACTTCATGGAGTATTTCATGAATAAAGGTTCGACTGTAATCCCGTTTCTCCTGTTCCTTCTTATCAATGTTTGCCCTCACACGCTTTATGATGTTGTCTGTGATGTCCTGCAAGTTCACATCAGCATTAGAAACATTCAACCCGAGGTATGTTTTCCAACCCTTTTTCTTTGTGACATATTTCTTCAAGTCCAAGGAAAATCCTCTGTGTTTGGGGAATGACCTGATCCGTGCATGGAAACCAGGCTCCTTAAAATGCTCCAGAAGGACATCTTTTATTTCCGCATCGATATCCACCCGTTTTAGTGGGGGAGCAGCACGGGAGACTTCAGCAATCCACTCGGCCCAGAGAGAAGTAAACTTGTCTCTCAGTTCTCTCTCACTGAGGTTCTTACCTTCCAGAGTCAGAGCCAACTCCCTGCTCCTTCTCAAGAGCTCGTCTTCATATTTCCACTTCCTTGCATCCACTTTACTCTGGGTCTTCTGCAGTTCAATGAGATTCTCACATTTCTTCAGAGTTTCAAGAAGAAGATTCCCTTTTAGTTCTTTCAGCTTCCGCTTTGTGCTGCCTT